GGCGGCAGAAGTGCATACACACACCACGATTATTCTGACGTTAAAACAGCTTCGAGCGCAAAGAGGTGTACATTGGAGATCGCGACACGCCGGGTTTTCCCTTGAAGCCAGAGATTGTTCCCGCGTCGACAATTGTTCGGCAGAGAAGAGTCACGGTTCCCTTAAAATTCTCGATTCAGCCGATTCTTCCGGCGAGGTATGCGTATTTTCCTTTGGAAAAGCGTTTGCAAGGGAGAAGAATCCGAAGTCTCTTTCCATCGGAGCTTCTCTTTCCAGCGGAGCGCCTATTCATAAAAATGTATTAATAGGCTTCCGGCGGTGGTTTAATTGTAACGAGACGAGGCCCCGCTCCGCTGTTACTTTCGCGACACCCGTTACTGATAATCAGAGGCCGCCGCGCCGCGAGCGCGCGGATTCTCGCGAACGGCCCGCGCGACGCTCGCGATTCTCGCGATTCGCCGCGGCGAGGCCGTATTGGAAATTACATCTGCGCTCCGTAATTACGCGTTAGCCGGGCATTTTTGTGCGAACACGCATTCAACGCGTTTTCACAACGGAGCGAAGCGCGCTTTTCTTCTCGCGCGATGCGACCGATTTCCACCGTGTTCGCATTCTTTTCAGCCGGCTCTGCCGCGGAAGACGCTACAAAAAACGAATGCCTCTTTCTCCCGTTCCCCTTTCTTCGATCTTGTTCCCCGGTTCTCTAACAAGGTTCTTTCGCTTTCACAATTAATTCTGCGGTTGTTGTCCGCCGCCGCCGTCCGCGATTTCGTTCCGCGTTGCGGCGCTTTAGAAATCACCGGTTGCTTCGCTCGGCGCACGGATCTCTCTTTAGGCTGTTGCGCTTCGATTTCGCGATCGAAGACGCACTCGAAATTAAATCCTTCCGGTACGAGCGCCGGATATATCGGGCATCCATCTGGTCACCTGTGTGGCCGAGCGCCGGATATACAGGGTGTTCCAAAATTATGGTATTTCCGGGAAATGAGGGGTTCCCGAGATCATTTGAAGCAACTTTTTCCTTAGCGAAAATATTCTACGAGGCTTCGTTCACGAGTTATCGACAAAAAACAGTGACCAATGAGAGGCGAGCTCGATCGGCACGAGACGGCCGAGCCAAAGAGCGCGCGAAGCCCGGATCCGCTGATTGGCTCGGCTGCCTTGCGCCAACCGAGCTCGTCTTTGATTGGTCAGTGTTTTTCGTTAATAACTCGTGAACGAAGCATCGTAGAACATTTTCGCTAAGGAAGAAGTTGCTACAAATGACCCCAGGAATCCCCCATTTCTCGGAAATACCATAATTTTGGGACGTCCTGTATATCGGCATCCATCCGATGACTGGTATGGACGAGTCCCGAATACATCTGCATTCGTGCGAGCCATATTTCTGACATATTAGAAATTATTCTAATAAAGTCTTTTCTTACAAG